AGTTCTATCTGGATACTGTTCTGCCACCAGTTAAAAACTTTTTACTATAATAAAGATGAATAGCATTCAGTAATGTTAATCTGTTTGATTTATTAACTGTCTAGTCAGATTCTTTTGGATTCATCTTCTTTTTATTTCATTTCAGTACTCTGAGGTCCATGATCATCCCATCTGGATTATCAAAAATCTCCCTTTAGTTTTGCCTTTCCTGTGTCCCCTTTCTGCAACAATCTGCTCTTAAAGTGTGACTAAACCAAAGCCATCTTTCTAAAATGCAGATTTGATCATGTTAGTCACTAGCTTAAAACCCTTAATGGTTGGTTCCCTGTTGCCCCAGGTTAACACCCCAAATTCCTGAAAGGGCTAGTAGTCATAACTGAGTCCCTGTTTACTTTTCCAGGATCTTGATGTATCACCTCTCCCCATCCACCAGGCTCTTATCTACCCTTAAGCCAGTTTCTCGCAGTCCTTGCCCTATATGTCTCTGAATTACACATGTATTCTGCCTAGTACATTCTTGTACCTTTGTTTCCCCATGGCTAATCCCTTCTTATCCTTTAGGTCTTATAGTCATTTTCTTCAGGAAGCCTTCCCTGCCATCCTCTCTCCCTTTATTAGTGGCTCTTGCTGTGTATTTGCAGAATGCTCTGAATTTTCCCCATCGTGGTGCTTTGTCATTCATTTGTCTTTTATACTCTTAAGCTCTAAGAGCAAGGACCAGGTTTGGCTTGCTCGCCATAGTTCCATTGCTTATAAATAATGGATGGTTCATTAAATATTCGTTAAATTATGTAATTGGGACTTGACTGGTTTTTCTTCTGTAGGTCTGCCCTTTTGAGTTTTTTTCTTCACTCAGCTACTCTTAATATTCTAATTTCTAAAAGTATACAAAGACCACTTAATTCTCTCAGTAAAATTTGTGACTTTCCTCAGAAAGCTTTGAGAATTTTGCTTTTATTTCCTAATAGTGAATTACAAGTCATATTACAGTTTATATTTCAAGATTTCCTTTTTATATTTCAACCATTGGCCAATTTAATAAAGATACTGTTTTATTTAAATTATAATTATGAAAGAATTGTACTATTTATACTATAAATTTATGCTGTTTATTCCATGTAATATATACAACCTTGGTAATGATCACCTCACTTGTCTTGGGGAAAAATGAGGGTTTAGGCTGGCTTAGGCTTTTAATTAAAAGAAGATCAAATTTTGTTAATATCATTAACATCACTCACTAGTTGAAGTTTTGTGTATTGTAAGAATTATCTGTGCATATATGAAGTCATTTTTAAATAAGAAAATAACTCTTGGGGAAAGGAAGGAACTGGTTATAAAATTTACTTCCTGACTTAACAAATATTAGGAGTAATTGGAGTCTGCAGACAATCTCTAAGTCTCATTTTAGTTAAGAATTTCATCTTAAGACATACTTTTTAGTTGTGCTTCTACCATGAAAAAACAGTAAATTTATTTAAGTGCCATTGCCTTTCACACTCAGCATTTAGTGGAATATTTGAGTTATAAAATAGCAGTTGGTTTAATTAGTTTCTGGAATAATTTGGATAGTATTCTATACATTTGTTAAGAGGACTAGTAAGTTAAATTTACTCTTTGATCATCTATTTTCTATTTTGTCAACTGCTCTATGTCTCATCAAATAGTATACAAGTAACCATTCCCAAACTGGAAAATGATCTCTAACTGCTTGTGTGCTCAGATTTTGTGATGAGCTCTTTTATATGTACAGAATATTTAAAATAAAGATAATTCTTTATTTTTGTGTCCCAAATCTTAAAAATTTATAATGTGTATTTCTTGGTTATATGTTTTGTCATCCTTATACATTGCAATTTACCTATTTGAATGGAATGGTTTTTATTTGGTGAATAGTTTCTAAATAGGTATTTCAAAGTCATTTCAGTTCTTTGAGTAATATATTGAAAGAGTCACTGAACTGAGAGCCAGGCATCCTGTATCTGGTCCTGCCTGCCTTCGCCATCAAGTAAATGGCAATTTCTTCATTTTATATAATCTCATGTTGGAGAAAATTAATTTCTAGAAATAAAAACATGAATTCAAATTTTTTTTTAAACAAAGGCAAGTCATATGTTTGTGAATTAGTTGAACTCACAAAATGCATTGATACACTTTATTTTTTATGTATAATGAGTATTGAGTTTTATTCCTCTCTTTAATACCATGGTGAATACCTTTCCCAGTTCCCAGTTCCTTAAATTTAACCCCATATATCTCTCAGGGTTTCGTTCCTTAAATTTAACCCCATGTATCTCTCAGGGTTTTGTTTGGACATTTAATAGATCACACATGATCTGTTACATACTGACTGCAGCCCCTTCTACTTATTTCTGAAGGACCAATAAAAGTAATTCCTGGTAAAAGTGGCTCCTTTCTTTTGAAAATATAAATTTTGTCACCTCTACAGAGCATATGAATTTTCATTGTGCTTTACAATATGATTCTCTGGATAGGCTTAAATATAATCTCAAACAGCAGTATCATCTTGGGACTTGATACTTAATCTATTTAAATGAACTGCATTTGCCCAATGTTATTCAATAGGTACCTGTGAAAGCATGGATTGAATATCACTGGGGTAACTAGAGGAAGCTGCTTCATGGAGTCTTATTTGCGTACAAATTGCCACTGCTTTGTTTCTGTAGCAACAATAAGCCATCCCTTTGACGGTAGTTAGCTTGAATTATTCTGCACCAGTGCTGTTTAAATCGGCTATGTTAAGTAAAAGGAATAAAAATGCTTATAAGAGAGGTCATTTATTATATTCAAATTTATTTTAGATGCTTGACCAGTGCTATGAAGGTAAAAATTACATTTAAAATTATTTCATCAGTAAAGTTTTATGGGTTTTGAAATAGACTTTGGGTTTGTGGTTTTAAAATAGATTAACAGTATTTTTTAGGTACTCATATATTCTGAATGTGAAGTACTCTAATTAAAATGGTAGATAAGTATCCCAGAAACTTCAAACATTTTAGAATAGAAAGTCAAATGAATGTCTAAATGAATTTGGTATTTTCATAATTCTTTTTATATATGTTAGCACGGTGTGTTTCATATCTTAGGTATGTTTGCCTGAATTAATAATGTAAAAAATATCAGGGTAGAATATGAAATATTCAGTAATATTGTTACCTGTCAATATCAACTCTTTAAGACTAAAAAATTATCTTGTATCATACTGATGTGAATACTGAGTGATTAAATTCTGAAACAACTCAGTGAAATAGTTCGATTTTTAGGGGTACTTTCATTACACCGTATTGAATTTTTTGCCCTTTCTTATTGAATACTGCTTCCAGTGTTAGATTGCTGCTTTTGAAGCCTAAATTTGATATGGTTAATGGTAACATTTGTCTCCCAAAATTCTGCCATATGAGAAGTAGTTTAGAATGATGGAGATGGAAGGTACTTTGAGATTACTCAGAGTCCAGCCTTCAGCCTACCAGTAATATTAAGTAAAAACCTACCGTCTTTCTTAATGAACACTTGGCCAATGGCTTTCTCTAATATAGGCATAGTGAAGAGCAATGCTGTGAATAAAAGATATTTGAGTAATTTTTTTAATATATATATTTTAAAGTCTTTTATCTTTTGCAAACTTATTTTTTTAACATTTTTTATGTTGAACATTACCATGAATAGATTTTTGTTTTACTTGCCACAACTGAGACTGAATACTCTAAAAAGTACAGATTTTGCCTCTGTGCAAAGTATGGTGAATTTTTAATAATGAATACAAGAAATTTGCATGATTAGAGCTGAGCATTAAATAGATATTACAATATGGTATTTATTCTGGAATATTTAAGCAGTAAGATATTTTAAGTAAATTACTTTTATAAATATGGTTTGAGCCATACTGAGTAAGAAATATGTTGATTTTTCATAGTTCAGTACAAACGTGTGTGTATGTGTATAATCTTTATCAGTTGAAGCAGAAAGCAGTGTGGAATACCTCTCAACATAAAATCATTAAATAATGATTTTATTTAATGAAATAATGATGAATTACTGAATTCATAAATAATAAAACTCATTGAAAAGTAAACCTTTATAAATTACTTTGAAAATTGTAAGGCTTCATTTTCAAGTCTTTATGGTAAAGGTAAGTGTCCGTAAATGTTGTGTGGAAGCTCTATTTTATTGACAAAACATTATATAATTTTTCCTTTTTGGTAGACAAACAGGTTTAGGAGTTTGCTGAATTGTCAGTGTCACTTATTATCACCTCAGTTATTTGCTTGCTTGAATTACAGTCACCTTGTTCTACTGATATTGGTAGTTGTTAATGACTCAATCCTTGTTAAGTACAGACTATCTGTCATACATAGTATATTTGCCACTAATAGAGAAGATATGCTTGAGTTTCTCTAATGTGTATATTCCTAGATTTACTCAAAATCTTAACATGTGAATAGTGGCAAGCTTCTTTATGATACTAATATTAATTCTGTTGTGGAACTACAAAGAAAACAACTTATACTTACATTGTATGTTACCATTTCAAAGTGCTTTGATTCTTAGTAACCACCTTATACAGTAGGCAGGGCAGGCTTTGTATAAGCCTCATTTGTCAGATGGGAAAAGTAAAGCTCAAAAGTCAAGTAATTTGTTCCAAGATCATGCAAAAGTAGAGTCAAAATTTGATTCTAGGTTTTGTGTCTTCAAGTTCCTCTCTGCTATATTGCATCCTTCTCTGTATATTTATCTTCCTTATCATCCCATTGTTTACAACAGTAATATTGGAATCAGAACCCTATATTCCACACTTCAACAAAATCTCATCTATGTGCTTTATTGCTGTGCTAATAAGTCCAATGATAGTTAAAAAGATAATTTATGTCCCTCATTTCTTTTCAGTAATATGCATCTGAGAAACTGCACATTACTGCCTGATATAAGGTGTGACATCTTTTAACACTGCTTCTACTCTTTTATTAATGTGGGAAACTTGGTTGCATATTGATAGGAATACATAAAGAAGAAAAAGACTTTTAAAAAAATGTATTTGATTACATTTAAAACTTTTACTGTGGTAGAAAGAATTCAGTAACCATTACCTTTATTCTTAAAAAAAAAAAATGAGCTTAGTATTTTTTTGTCCAAACCTGTTCTGCTGGTTCAGATTTGTCATTTTGATTTTGTAGCAGTTAGAAGAAAAGAGTGAAGATCAAGAAGACAAGGAATGTTTGAAACAAGCAATAACAGCTTTGCTTAATGTTCAGAGTGGTATGGAAAAAATATGTTCTAAAAGTCTTGCAAAACGAAGACTGAGGTGAATATTTTCACTTTTTTTATAATGTTCTTTTTCACCCTGAATATTATGGTACAAATTCAGGGATCCTAGTTCCCTCTTCAAGTAAACAATGGAGAAAATAAGCTTGGTCTTTCAGAGGAAGTGACATCAAAGCCAGGAGAATTTGTTATTGTTTGAAAACCTTTCATATTTGTGCATTTTCCTTGCATACTCCCAGACGAGACCTCCTGAGAGCAAACTGGTAAGCTAAAGGAGAAAGAAAACAAAACGTATTGGGTAGATTTATGTCAGCATCATTGTTCTGTCAGAGTAAAATTAGTAGTGTCCTTTATTTTAGGGATTATATAACTTGAGGCGTTAATTCAGATAATATTGATGGCTTCTAGTTTCCTCATTACAGTATGTGCATATTTTTTAGCTTTGGATCTTGTCCACTTAAGTATTTCTAAATTTTAAAAATCTCTTAAATTCCTTTTTTTCACTATATTGGGCTACTTTTTAATATTTGTCAGTCTAAATATTCAATAATCATTCTATAATTGCATTTATAAGGTCGAATTTTGTCAATGATCATTGTTCTTTTTAGAGCACTAAAAAGTCTCTACTGTGTTGCTTTACTTTCCAAACTGTACAGTTTTGTAACACAATTTTATTTGGAGAATTAGTGAAAACCTTCTCAGTGCAACTTTTTAAAATGTACTTTTACGCTGTCCTTTGTTTACATGAATTCTAGGTTCTTTTGTCATTTGTGTACTAATAATGTTTTTTCCTTTATCCCAGTGAATCTGCATGTCGTTTTTATAGTCAGCAAATGAAGGGGAAACAACTAGCAATCAAGAAAATGAATGAGATTCAGAAGAATATTGATGGTTGGGAGGGAAAAGACATTGGACAGTGTTGCAATGAGTTTATAATGGAAGGAACTCTTACACGTGTAGGAGCCAAACATGAGAGACACATATTTCTCTTTGATGGCTTAATGATTTGCTGTAAATCAAATCATGGGCAGCCAAGACTTCCTGGTGCTAGCAATGCAGAATATCGTCTTAAAGAAAAGTTTTTTATGAGAAAGGTACAAATTAATGACAAAGATGACACCAGTGAGTACAAGCATGCTTTTGAAATAATTTTAAAAGATGAAAATAGTGTTATATTTTCTGCCAAGTCAGCTGAAGAGAAGAACAACTGGATGGCAGCATTGATATCTTTACAGTACCGGAGTACACTAGAAAGGATGCTTGATGTGACAATGCTCCAGGAAGAGAAGGAGGAGCAGATGAGGCTCCCTAGTGCTGATGTTTATAGATTTGCAGAGCCTGACTCTGAAGAGAATATAATATTTGAAGAAAACACGCAGCCCAAGGCTGGAATTCCAATTATCAAAGCAGGAACTGTTATTAAACTTATAGAAAGGCTTACATACCATATGTATGCAGGTAAGAATATGAAGTTGCCTGTCCCTTTTATTTTCCTGCTTCAAGCTGATTTTCTTTACTGCACAGTCATTGTGCCTAAAATAGAAACAAACTAACAACAAAAGTCCTCCCCATTATCAGAGTTGTTTTCCTTTCACTAAAAATACCACTTCAATATTTTGAAATTTTACACTTCCCACCAAATTTACATATATTATCCTTAACTTTAAAAATCAAAGTTAGAAATGAGAAAAGAAAGTCACTTAGCTAAATTTACCCAGTTAGAAAGTGACAGAAACAAGATTAAAGGAAGACATAAATGATCATCATTATAGTCTAAAAACCTTTTTACACCTTTATCTCTTTTTTTCCTTTCTTTCCATTATTCAGATTCTAAAATCAGTAAAAATTTCCATATACATTCATCACCCTAATATACACAGCATTGCTTTTTCCTAATTTCCACTCCTAAAGCTTACTAAATTTAACAGTCCTGGAAGTCATTTAAGTTTTCAGTATTTTTTGCTTTTTACAACTGATGTTATTTAAGAAAACAATTTCACCTTAGCAGAGCAATTTTTAAGAACAAATAGGTACACACCACTTAGGAAGATTGCTATGGGCTGTATAAAATATGATTGAGAGGTAAGAAACAAATATAATGATTCATTTTTTTGTGTGTAATTTTATTTCTTGTAATAAAGTAACAAATGATTATCTGATGTTCTTCAACCTTCAACTTCCCTACGTAGTAGAAAGTTTGGTAACTATGAAATACTATGGAGGGTGGTGTAATGGGAAGAGCATGGAATTTGGATTTACACCATCACTATCACAATTCCTTAAGGTCTCAAAACATTAGTGCTCATCTCAAAAAATCAGCGTCACACCAGCTACTTTAGAGTGTTGTTGGAAAGTATAAATGATATACTATTTGTGAAAGAAAGCTTTTTTTTGGTAAATATAAATGTAAACTTATTTTCAAAGAATGTTTTTATTACAAAGACTTAACAAACTCAAATGTAATTCTTACAACATAAATGCCATTCTTAAATAACTGAATGTGAAAGTGAACCTCCATCCCCATACTTCTTGCTTAAATATAATATCTCTGGGAAATGTTTCAGGGGAAATTTTTCTTCAATTTTTAAAATCCTGTAAATGGATTCTCAGTTCTATCTGGATACTGTTCTGCCACCAGTTAAAAACTTTTTACTATAATAAAGATGAATAGCATTCAGTAATGTTAATCTGTTTGATTTATTAACTGTCTAGTCAGAATTTCTTGTATGGCCTGAAAACTATCAGGGGTCCTTGCAAAAAAGTGAAATGAAATTAGAATATTTTTATCAGTGATATTGAAGCCAATTATAAATGTGATCTGTTTGTCTCCACATTTTTCTGGGATAAATAATCCAATGTTTTATTTTAGTTTTAATTCTTACTTGGCCTCTAATTGGTAGCTCTTTTGCTAGCCTTTTCCAAGTAATGTAATAGTGTTTAAAATAGTTAAAAATAGTTAAAAGCAATTTGGGTTCTCTAAGCATGTAACATTTGGTAGTAGCAGGCAATAGCTGTAACACATTGAATATAGTGAAAGACGACTGTGATCTCAATTTCACTCTTGATTTTTCACCTAGAAACTTCTATAGTCTGTGTATTCATTTTACTGACTCAAAAATAGATAAATCGAAACACAGGAAATTTTAAATACACTGCATAAGACTTTACATGAAAAAGAAAGATAATTCTGTCATCTTTTTTACATACAAAACTGTTTTTGAGAGGTACAGTTTTCAGTAAAATTATGTACCATTTACTTGGTATTTATCAACTTATGTCCACTCTTTTAAAATCTAGAATACAACTAAAAAATTATTTTATTAAATTACTCAAAATTTATGGTTGCAAAATGGTTATTTTGTGCTATTTCTTAAGGAATTTTTAAAATTATAGATGTCCAAACTGCTTTTTTTGCCACATTATTCTGATTTTTAAGTGTCTTATTTTTTTTCCTATAGAGCAATATAAGTGGCAAGAGCTAGACTTGTTAGCTTTTACCATAAGTCTGTGTTGAATTGGAAAACATTTTCAAATTCCAAAATTTTTAATGTAATTGTTTCTGTAAAACTTGATTGTTAATGATAAAAATTCTCTTTATACTATTTGCTGTCTTTCACAGAACTAACTTACAATTATTAATAAGCAATTGAAGAACTACAATTATATATTGTTTGGGGAGCTGTGCCTTTTATTTTTTGAATGAGGACATTTTAAAATTTGAACAAGCATAGCTAACAGTTTTTCTGGAGTCTTGACGGTCTTCTTTCCTTAATGTGTGCAGTGCTAGCCAAGACACAGGACTTTTGCCATGGTGGTTTACCAGTGACTTAAAGTTGAATAATATTTTTAATGGTTTTAATTCTAGTTAATATAAAACACTTAAATTTCTAGGTTTAGGAACTTTGCGGTGTTAAATATATTCAAATTTAAATTGTCATGAATGTTTTACTTTTTTGGAAAAAGTTTTCAAGAAATTCCTTCACTAATTTCTTGAGGAATAAAATGCCAGTATTGGTTTTGGAAGTGCTGTAGCAAAGTTTTTGGACATTTTTCTTTTCTATCTTCTTTTGAAGCTTGACGGAAAATTTTTACACATTAAATATATTACTAGCGTAACTGGAATCCACAAGTAGCTTTCATGACTTATGGCTTACAGTACTCACAGATTAGTATTAATTATTAGCTTATTTGGTCTCTTCTGTAAGATCTGTCACTGAACATATCACTGGCAGTATAGAATGTGTTTTTAATAGATCATCTGTGGACTTGTAAAAAATAAAAACTGTTGTTTTTTAAGGTTTCTTGCAGTTCAAATGTACTCTTGAGTCCACACTACAATAATAATTGGTCAAGTTACCATTTATTTAAGAACTGTCTGTTTGCTTTTTTTTTTTCCCTTTTTGGTTCAGTTGGTTAATAGGTATTTTTGTTGGAGAACATACAGTGCAAATTATGGCTTTACCAAAACCAGTTAAAATTCAACTTGCACATTTTTACTATATTGTATAGAATTATAATAAAAGACTGGCTATAATACATGAGAAAATTATATAACTAATAATTATGTGAATTGAATAATAAAAATAAACAAAATTACTTGCTTGATTTGAATTGCCAGTGTTAAAAATGGCTTGTTTATTTTTGGGCAGACACAGGTCTCCTAGTCAAGAGTAATTTTTATTTTTCTTATTAAATAGATAGTAAGTTCTGACTATAGATAAACTTCCATTTTAATGCATAGATTTTAGTGTATGCGTGTGTGTGTATATAGTTAGATATTTCAGTCATCAATTTAAATTTTTAACAAAACCCAATCATTAGCTTATTGGTATTTGTTCTGTAAAGGAAACCTTTCTGGGAGAAAAAAATAAGGTGAATTAGAAAGTGCTTAATTGTTGCTTAAAAGATTGTAGCAGGGTCTTATGTAGAATCTAATTTGTAGCTTATCTCAGATCCAGTGTTTCTGGACGTAACGGTAATTCGCTAAATACATCAGAATTTTGCAATTCATCCCAAATTCTGGGAGGGCCAGGGGTGGAGGATTATCTATTTAGATCATTCTGAATTGAAGAGACTTTCCTAACCTTACCCACTTTCCTTACCTACTTTAAACACAAAGTAATGTGCTTAAAGAAAGGATCAGAGTAGGAGTTTCATTTCTGTTAAGAGTTATAGGAAATAAAGTACAAATTAATGACTGACACTTAAACAACATGGGTAAAGAATGTTTGGTGATGTTATGTCTGGTTTGATAGTCTGTTTTAGAGAAATGAGGTGACCTTGAAGTAAGAATAATAATTCAGAACTGACATTATATGGAAATAACATTTTTCGTATTTAAGTGTGGGGAAAAGATGATTCCCAAGCGTGGTGAATTTCTGTTATAGAAAATGGTATTGAAAAAACTTAAGCCCGTTATTTTTCTTTCAAGTATTTACTGCTATTTTATACCTTCATACAGAAAATACTCAAAAACCTGCGGTAGATTTCTTCTGAGTTTGTGTCCTATATAAGCTCAGTTTGGATGTTTTACCTTTTAAAAGAATCTTTTGAAAAATTTTTGATCTATAAGGCAATGCTGTTCTATTTTTAAACTCTGGTATTTTTTTTTAAGTGTTTGTGCGTCAGCATACTGTCTGTTTCCTTTTTTAAGGAATTCGAGTGATTGTTTATAAATCCTTGTTGAGGAGCTTATTGTTTCTTTTAGCTTTTCAAATGGCTGTATTAAAGGGAGAATTATCACATGAACAGACATCCTGATTAGTAGTGTTTCACTATGGTAGCTGGGGGAAGGGCATCTTTACGTAAATATGTGATAAATAGTTCATAAATTTCATTGACCTTGCCAAATAAAATGTCAAATGACAGAATTGGTACAGAAGAAAAAGGGATTGAATTTATCATCTCACTTCTAGTATGCTATATTCTGAACATCACATAGGTATATTAAGAGTTTCTAGGACTTCAAAGAATTGTGCAATAAAATATTATCAAAGAATAGTTTTAGAGTGAGGGAGACAGGCAGCTAGAAGGCCAGCAGAAAACAGTACAGCTCATGTTCGAAAGAACCTGGGCCGAGACCAGAGACTTAATGGTAGAGTTAGAAGGTATTTGTGTAGAGAGAAGCAGAGAAGCTAGTGAACGTGGTGGAAATCTCAGAACAGGGATTTGATTCAGGTAAAAGAGAGAGTGCTACCTAAAATAATGAAGAAAAGCTGCAGAGGAAGTCTTGTCATTGCTCATATTGAAATCCTAAATTACAGGTTATGTTTGAGAAAGAGGTTTGTAGAAGTAGATCCACAAGCAAGTAATAAAGGAGAATATCAAACTAGTTTTCATTTTCTCCACAAATATTTGTGGTTATGTTTTAAAACCAAACCAAGCTGGCTTTTGTATTTTTATGCATTTGACTTCCATCTGTCTTTGAAATGTTTATAGGTAGATAACTGCTGCTCCACAATCTACAGGGACAGTATAATACTTAGCTTTATCATTGCCTGATAAATGCAATTAGGTTCTTTGTTTTCTTACCAAATTATATAACCTGTCATTATTGGTAGGTATTTTAAAAATATCAAATAATCTTAGTCCTTTATATCATCAATAAGATAAAAAGGTAGTTAGTATTTCCCAGTCATTGAAATGGGGAAATCAGTAGAAATAAAAATAGCTTCTGGAATATATACCTTTTCTATAAAATTTCAAATACAGATGTTATGTCCTCTCTTAATACAACTTTTTCAGTCATTAGCAATTTTCTACTGCTTTAGACTAGAGTCTGAATTAATACAAGCCTAGAAATATATGCAGCCTTTAAGATATTTTTTTGGAAGTACTTAAGCTTTTGCCAAATTTTGGCTTATTTTTAGCTTTTTCTTTTTGGCTAGACTACTTACTCCTTTTTCTCATCAAGCTAAAAGAAACTGAAACCTAAGTAACTTTAGAACTTAGTACAACAGTGATGATTGTGGGAGTGTTTATTTCACCACCAGCTTCAGAAACTCCTGAGTACAGTGTACAGGAAGGCACAACTGTTACTTCCTAAAATCTGAAGAAGGCTTAACAGGAATTCAGAATCAATCACAATTAGAGTGCTCATTTTTCAGTGACTTTTTAGTGTCTTTAACCAAGATTAGCAGTTGATAGCTACATTCTGAATTAATCATTTGTGTAAATTTCTATAGTGATTATATCACTCATGGATTCAGTTTTTATAT